TTCTCCATTTTAACCTAAATGCTACACTAATTGTAATATAAATAATAAACATATTAGAGAATGCTACATTTTATTCTGTCATTCATGGATCATAATTACTGCACATATCATTTAGTGCCAAAAATCTACTGAACTAAAGTATAGTACAATTATTTAATTGATTAAAAGTTACACTTAAGGTGTTTGGTCACATTTAACTGCTTAAAAGGAGTATGAGAACATATCAATGCTGTCTTTTTATCAGTCCCAAGAATAAAATGTTATTGTAAAGTGTAGTCAGCGTAGTTATCAATGCACATAATTACTAGACATTGCTGTAAATATAGTGAAACTGCTGTCTGTCCCGATTAAACCCATTCAAACATATAGACAGTGCAGTTGTTTGGAACTATTGAGAGCTCCATGAACCACTTGACCGCATGGCAGCAAGATCAAAGCATGCTGCAACTTTCTCAATGGCTCTGCATGTAACGTACATGCATTTTGGTATGCTTTGGAATGCTACATTTTGAAAGCAAACTTATTTTGAAGTTTTGTTGTGAATGAATGAATGAGGCATTTATATAGCGCTTTATTGTGTATTGCTCTGCACCCAAAGCGCTTTACAATCATATGAGGGGGTCTCTCCTCAACCACCAAAGATGCGACTGCAGCCACAGTACAACTCACCACACACCAGCTACAGGTGGAGAGGAGAGAGAGATAGAGCCAATTCAGTGGATGGGATTATTAGGAGGCCATGATTAATAAGGGCCAGTGGACAGAATCTGGCCAGGACATCAGGGATACACCCCTACTCTTTACGAGAAGTGCCATGGGATTTTTAATGACCACAGAGAGTCAGGATCTCGGTTTAACATCTCATCCGAAGGACGGTGCTTTTTACAGTATAGTGTCCCCGTCACTATACTGGGTCGTTAGGACCCACACAGACCACAGGGTGAGCACCCCCTGCTGGCCTCACTAACACCTCTTCCAACAGCAACCTAGTTTTCCCAGGAGGTCTCCCATGCAGGTATTGACCAGCTCAACCCTGCTCAGCTTCAGTGGGCAACCAGTCTTGGGCTACAGGGTGATATGGCTGGCTGTTGTGGTCTTGCCTTTTCTGTGTTCATGTTTCCCCTGCCCTTTGTATTGTGGTATTTCCTCTGTTGTCACTGTTTCATGTAATGCCTTTTTTACAGTGCATAAATATACCCATTTTCTTTTGTCTCCTTGAGTATTTTGTGTTCTATGTTCTTATTTGCTAGTGAGTTTTGGTTTATTCCAACACATTTACATTTATGCACTTAGGAGACACATTTATCTAAATTGACTTACAAAGACAAGTTCACAATTTTGTTAAGAAGTTCAGGCTGTTTCCGGTTTTGTTTTGTTTTTTCCCTTGCTTTTCATTTTTGGGTTCTTTATGTTACTATCACAATTTCAGTACACTGCATTTGTGTTCTTTACCACATCATGCCTCGTGAGTTGTCTTTTAAAACAGTGATTGAGTATGTGATAAAGTTTGAAAGTGGAAAGTGCAAAGTCAAACTCTGCCATTTAATGGGCACAGAAAAACTCAGCACAAGTCAGTCATATGCTTGCTTGTAGGTGTAGTTTCTTCTCTTCATTCTTCATCTTTAGTCTTGAAAATGCAAAAAATAAAAAATAATAATATTGATTTTATTGAAAATGTTTTATAGATTTTATGTATAAAAAGTCACTTTTCTCTACATAATCATCA